ATGGTGACCATTCTAGGGGAGCCAGGCTCTGCAGTGGGAAATACCCTCATCAGATTTGGACACCTGGCCTCAAGGGGCAGGTTGGGCCCTGACAGGGTCAGAACGGACGGGCAGCAGCTTGTCTGCAGAGACGAGATGAAGGTGGTCACAGTGATGGACAGTGGAGTCAGAGCAGAAATTCGGGGTGTTGGCTGCTTTGTGATGGGGTCTATGGATGTGGAATAGACAGGAAGGACATGAAACACAGACTTGATGAATGTCAGAGGGGAGTTCCGTGTCACCTGACAGCAGTCTGGCTCAGATCGCTGGGACAGAAAGTCCAGGTTGGATCCAGGTGAACAGTCCCACAATACCTCAGACAAGGTCATGGTCCATCGTAGAAGGTCGCTAAGAGTCTGGGTGCACTTGACGGCACAAAGCAGTAGAATTGCATATGCTGTGTATTGCTGTCCACGAGAACCGACCCATAGCTGACCCTCCAGTGGCCTTTGAGCAGCCGTACTCTGCACAGGAGGACAGTCCAGCTTCCTTGCACGAAGCAGCTGGTGGACTTGAACCACATACCTTTGCATTGATGGCGCAATTCCTTGCCCTCTGAGCACAAGAACTCTCTGCGGGCAGTAGAATTACTAAGAAGTCTGCACTATTGTGAGTGACTCCGATGTGAGGCAGAGACAGAAAGTGTGTACACGCTATTAGAGAAACACCCCAAAACCCCACAACAGACTTACAAGGTTACCCTGTGGGGGTGCTCATCCCGGTGAGCAGTGGGCACTGCAGGATCAGAGCCAGCAGGTGCCCAGGGGCAAGGCTCAGAAGGCAAGAGGGCGAGGAAATGAGCCAGAAATGGGGCGTCCTGGGCTTCAAACATCACAGTGAGGTGCAGACCCGCACAGGGCAGAGTGCAGTGGTGGGCTCTGAGTGCACACGCGGAGATGGGCACCTTCTCATGAGCCCACGCCGTCGGCGCCCAGGCTGGACCCCCTCTCTGCAGAGATGACACAGAATGAGAGCTCACAGTGGAAAGCCTTACAGTTAAACCCACTCAGTTGCCTAGGATTTTATTTGACTTAGATCCACCATCAACCCTGGTGGAAGAAGCATTCAAGAACTCAGAGAAATGGTGGTACATCCACACAATGGACTATTACGCTGCACTCGGCGATAAATCGTTTATGAAATACTGTGTAACACGGGAGAGACGAGTGAGTATTGTGCTGAGTGAAACAGTCATATAAGGGCAAGCAGCCGGGTAGGACACTACTGTGAAGGTAGCCGGATGGCTGGGCACAATGCATGTCAATGTCCACCAGGGGCCGGGGCGGGGAGGGGTTCAGGCGGGAGTCACGCGGCCAGCAGAGGCCAGTGGGCGGAGCAGGAGTGAAGGGCTAGGGGAGGTTCCGTGAGGACTTGAGGAGAAGGAGGATATAGGCCTAGTTCAAGCAGTCAGTTAAGTCACATACACTGTATATGGCTGATGGAGTGAAAGCAAATCAATGTTGTTGTTGTTGTTGTTTGGTGCCGTTGAGTCATAGACGACTCATAGCGACCCTGTGAACAAACGGCCTGAGCACTGTTCGTACAGAGTTTCCGGAGGCAAGCCATTTCGGAAGTGGATGCCGCTCCTGCTTCCAGGCTTGATTTAGTCGGGAAGCTCCAGCCAACACTGTCCACCATGGGTGCCCATTACCACAACTGGCACATCACTGTCACAGGCTTCAGCATCACAGCAACCACGAGTTACCTCTGTACAGCAACACACAGACCAGTGCTATACCATACAATTAAAAAAAAAAGGCGGGGGGAGAACAGTTGGCTCTTTCTCTTTGATCAATGCAGTACCGCTCCCTGAAAGCTCACGGATGGATCTCTTTGGGAAAAGCCGGGTTTAAGATGAAGTGTAAACTCCTAGCTGTGAGGTGGGTGCCTCATTCAGGGAGAACACAGGTCTCCCTTAGAATGGTCACCATGGAGCCTTCACGGATGTGGGGGCTCCCCTGTCTATCTGGTCCTCTCTGCTGTGGTCAAGGCGAGGCCGCTGGGCATTCCACGTGTGGATCTACGGGTCTAACCGGGTAAGTGTCCCGTGAGCTGCCTGGTCCCCTGAGCCTGGGGAGGCTCCCTCCATGGTGTGCCAGGCAGGTCCAGTCCTTCACCTGGACTCACTGTAGCCACCACGTGACCCAGGCTTCAGGGCGCTAACCGGACAGGTGGTGGGATTCTCTCTTCACCTCCTGAGCTGAAACACTGACTAAGGGATCTGCTCAGTGGTCCCAGATGGACCACCACAGGCTGATTCAAGTTCATGATCCTGCACCATCATCCGCACCCTTCACAGCCACTCCTACACACACTCCCTGGGTGTCTGACTGCACGTATTGGAAAACCCATCCGTTCTTCTGTGGTGTAGCCTGCCTCCTCCCTTGTCACACCTTTCACTTCCTATTTCAAGTTTCTTGAGGGTGTGACTTTTTAAAATTTCCTTGAGGAGGCGGTGGACTTGTGGGCTGGGCTGGCCTGAGGCCTGGGGCTTTTGGAGTCTCCCTCACCCTCCAAGTTGGCTGGCTGGCTGACATCAAGGGGACAGTGTCGCCTTGGTGGCAGTCAGGGGCAGAGGCCGAGGCCTGCTCGAGGGTGAGACTTTAAAATCCTGTTTGATCAAACATTCTTCTAGGTCATATAGCCCTGGCCTGTCCACTTGCTGTACAGAGGTAACTCATGGTTGCTGTGATGCTAAACCCTGTGACACTGATGTGTCAAATGTGATAATGGTTACCCATGGTGGACAGTGTTTGATGGTGCTTCCCGATTAAAATAAGCTTGGAAGCAGGAGTGGCGTCCACTAAGGAAACAGCTTGTCTCCAGAAGCACTATGAACTTGGAGAAACGAAGAAAGTTATACAGATGTTCAGGTCTTTCATTCATGGAGTCACTGTGAGTCACATACGACCCGATGGCACTTAACAACAACAAATAATAATAAGTTGAGTTTAAACACTTTTGACCCACTTATAGGAGGAAAAAAAATTTGTGTGGCTTGCTTTACGGTAAAATGTACACCTTTGCCTCAGTCTGGACTGGTCCTGCAGTCCCCAGTGTGCTGTTTTGGGGGTCACTCAGCGACCTGCGTAAAGGAGCATCAAGCTGCCCAGCACTGCCCCATCCTCGCAGTCCCAGCATGGCTGCCAAGTGGTCAGTCTGGACGTGCTGTCAGTGTTGTACCGAGTGGCCAGTCTAGATGTGCTGTCCATGTTGTAAGATGGCTGCCGAGTGGCCTGTCTGGACGCGCTGTCTGTGTTGTGCCGGGTGGTCAGTCCGGATGCCCTGTCTGCATTGTGCTGGGTGGTCAGTCTGGATGCGGTGTCTTCGTTGTACCGAGTGGCCTGTCTAGACGCCCTGTCTGCGTTGTACCGAGTGGTCAGTCTAGACTCCCTGTCTGTGTTGTACCGAGTGGTCAGTCTACACTCCCTGTCTGCGTTGTACCGAGTGGTCAGTCTACACTCCCTGTCTGCGTTGTACCGAGTGGTCAGTCTAC